AATGTGGAATGGTGAATTATTTTTAAAAATTTTACTTTATAGAGGTTGGGTGTGCCCTAAGCTTGATCTATGGTTGATGCCACATAATTAACTGCTACAATCGAACTCGAAGCTGTGACCCAGATAATATGTTTTAGAAACAAAAATATAAATTTGGTTTCAGGTCTGATTGTAGTTTAATCAACACTACGGACATAGCACCTAGATACCTGATATCAATTTTATGAAACAACTACTTTCGCTTGTGCATGCACCAATGTATTTTCTTCGTTTTTTTTTATTCCTCCTATTGATGTTTGGAGGAATGAACTAATGTAAAGCCTGTATTAATTTCTTCGAATTCCATTGAGTACATTTATTATTTTATTTATTCAACTTAGATCTTTGGAGCTCTACTAAGCCCTCAAATTCCTCTCGTATCCAATCCCTAAAATCCAAAATCCTTCGTAAAATCCTCAACGCTCCTTACTTTGTCACAAATAAAATCATCCATAAAGACCTTAATGTACCATATGTTTCCGATGTAGCTCAATCTAGATACCTATCCTTCCATAGTAAACTTCTGAACCATCCGAACCCTCTTGTTTCCAATCTTGCTTCCTCTTTTATTCCTGATAACCCTCCGAGGCGTCTGAAAAGAAGATGGCCTCGGGACCTTCTAGTATAGAAATATAATTGGAGTGCTACCAATGGGTCGTTTCTCTTCATGTTATATATGTCCAGTTACTTACTTCATATTTACTAGTTGTATTTATCATTATACTGTTGTAAATTTCAATAATAAAAAAAAGAAATTAAATTTAAAAGATACCTCCTTGGAACATATAAATTTTAAGTTTTGAAACACTTATCTTACTTACTTCGCTTTATAATAAAAAATGCTTATTCAATTTATTCTAAGTCGCCCGATATAAGATATGAAGTCCCTCGAGTAAGGGAGCGGTAAGCCGCTGTGAACTAGGGCCGATATTGTGCTTAAGGACCAGTTCTCAACTTGGGAGATGCTTGTTTAAGCGTTTGTACCATAATAGTGGAGGGGCTGAGGGCTTTGATTTAATTACAGTTATAATAGCTTTCTATAATAACGACTTAACCCACTTATAGTATTAATAATAACGAGTTTATTTTATCATTACATAATAATAATAATAATTATATAATAACAAATGTAGAATGATAATGGTTTGAGTTAATGCTGAATGATTTTAGGAGATGTTAACATTTTATACGAATTTTGAAGATTTTGCTTTGTATTGTACATAATAATTCGATATTTTTAATTTTTTTTTGTTTTAATGAAATTTACAACCGTGTATTACGTAGAAAATTCAACAAGTAACTGTGATATTGGTAACATGACATGTGCAACATGAAGAGAAACTACCCATTGGTAGAACTCAAATTAAAGTTCTATATTAGAAGGTCCCGAGGCCATCTTCTTTTCAGACGCCTCGGAGGGTTATCAGGGATCGAGGAGGAAGCAAGGTTTGAAACGAGAGGATTCGGATGGTTCTGCAGTTTGTTATGGAATTATAGGTATCTGGATTGGGCCAAATCGGAAACATATGGAACATGAAGGTCTTTATGGATGATTTTATTTGTGACGAAGTAAGGAGCGTTGAGGATTTTACGAAGGATTTTGGACTGTAAGGATTGGATACGAGAGGAACTCGATGGTTTAGTGGAGCCCCAAAGCTCACTTCCGTAAGTCCAAATAGGTCTTATTATTGTCATATATATGAGTCGTTTGTAATTGATTGAAAGCTTAGGGCGTTTGTCTAGTAAGTGCTGCAGTATACTTCGGTATTAATTATTAATTTTATATACTACTTATAATATAATCTAATAATGTATTTTATTGTTGTACTAATATGGCTCAAATTTAAAGAGTAAGAAATTCTTAATGGTATAAACTACATCATATAGGCATCAAATGTACCAAAAAACGAAGAAGAAAAAATATATGTGTTTTCAAATATAGAATCGCACTTAAATTTACAAAGTTTTTATTGTAATTCTTTGTCTATATATAGGTATCTTAAAAAAAATTGTATTAATGTATAGACTTTTTTTATTCTCTATAAGCAAAACAATATTTCCCTTATTATTTCATTAGGTATTTGCTCAAATGACAAATACTAAGTACAATCATTTCTCGTTGTCTTTTTACACGTTATTTTTCTTTTACGATTTGTAAGAGTCTGTTGCAAAAATCGATTAAATGATATGTTCTCCTTCCTCCAAACTCCTGAAATTAAATGAATAATAATTTATAGGACGTTTAAAAGAAAAGTAAATAAATAAAAATATCCATTGAGCTTATACACCTAATGAGGTTTATAAACTGAAGTAGAACTTGATCAGGTCGTATTTATGTCCTAGTAAAATATACCGAGTTTTATTATATCGACAACCTATCTGCAAAATCCTGTAGTTACAATATTAAAAAAAAAATCAGTTTTGAGCTATTGTGCCTGTTTATTGATATGGCATCTACATATTTAATTATGCATATCTAAAAACCATATTAAAAAATACATCTTCTCCTTACTGATAATAGAACATACCAATCTAAACCATTCCTATCTCATTAGCAAGCAGGTACCCACCGAAATAGCAACACTGCAATAGCACACTTACAGTTTTTTTTTTTAAGCTTATTTATTGAAAAATATTACAATCTGTCTCAAGGACATTTATAATAGTTTTCACAGATCACATTCACACTCTATGTACAATAAATAAAATAAATTATACAGACAAATAATATATATACAATAAATAAGAATAAAATAACCTAAAAATAAATAAATAAAAAGAACACATACATAGCTATATACAATATTTACAAGTTGGCGAGAGAACTCCAAACCAGACTTGTCCCTCCAAACTTACAGTTAGTCACATTTTAAAAAAATGTTCTTTTAATATAAAAAGCTTAACTAATTCAGGATTCACACTCCTACTATCAAACATCCTAAAAATTAACGAAGATTCACTAAAATTAGTATTACATTTCTTGAAATTAAACAAAGTTTAAAAGTTAAAGTTTAAATCTAGCTCAGCGATAAACAAACTTAATCATGGTCGTTGATAACTTCGAAGATTTACGCCTTAAAACCGCAACTAACTACAACAACTTCCTCTCAATTCACACGGAAAATACAATTCATAAAATAAGAAATATGCGATTAATTTCGTCTTATGAATAATTTTATTTTTTGTACTTACCGATAAATATCGCTTAATAAGTTTTGTGTTCTCAATCAACTCTGGTCTACTCATGTTCCTTATTGGACGGACCATTTTCTCAGGATCTTCAGGTTCTTCGTTATTGGAACCGATGCCTCCGCTATTGGCTCCTGGATTATCCTGGAGAAAGAGCTGGTTCCAGAGAGGAAGATCCTGACATATAAATAAGACTGGAATCCCTAAAGAGCTGAATCGGCACTAGCTGTTTATCGTTATCGACTCCCCCGGTGCTCTCCCAACCCTGTCGGTCAGGTAGCTGCTCCGGGTCTTCCCGAGGGATCTCTTAACATCCTCATCTCCCCGAACAGGGCTTCGTCCAGGGTATTCTCCCTACCACTGTCTGTTTATTGTCCTCAGGTGATCCTATAGTTGTCTTTATGATCCTGGTCTTGATTGTATTGTTGGTTTCGCAATAAAAGTCTAGGCCTTAATGCAGAGATTTTGTCTATAAAAATAAAGGAATTCGGAACTCTGCAGGTAGAAGACTGTTGAAGAACAAACTATCTCCTTGCAAATAATTCTTATGTATTCGTCAGCGAACAAATAACAATATTATATATAATATAAAATCAAATTGCAATATAATAATATAATAGAAGAGGACAAAAAAGAAGGTTCTAGTTGAAAAATTATTGTTTCTAAAAAACTTTTAGAAAAGTTATCCATATTTTCTTAGCCCTAATGAAGGCCTGAACTTTGGGCCGAAACGTCGGCAAAAATAAAAACAAATATAATTTATTTATTTCTACATTTTTTTATTGAACACTTCATGCAATTTTCTTTTCAATTATTCATACTGTCAACCATCTATCCACTATTAATAATATAATACGTAATGTATTATGAGAGGATCGAATTATTTTCATTAAAAATAATAGCATTCTTATATATATTAAAATCAGCTCTATCAATGCTAAATATGGTCCGATTTAGATTTTTCAATTGATAGTGAATTTGAATTTTTTTTAAAATTATGTTGAGTCTAATCGATCATGCATTGAATAATTTTATTCAGCTATAGGAAAATATAATCTCATTTTTTTCTTAGCTTTTTTATCTTAGATTTCTGTATGTGCTTATTTGTTCGCATCTGAAGGACAAGATGACTCAAAAATAATATACTTTAAGATCTTGAAACATAAACCGGTAGGTTTTTCAAAATTCATAGCTCCTGAGCTCCGCAATAGTTGTGTAGTGTTGTATAGATGTGTTTTAAAATCATATATTCTGAAAAATATGATTTCTGACGAATACGAATTTTAGTCAAAATTGAACAGATTTAAAAATTACCTCAATAATGCAAATATTTTTCTCACTAATAATTAAATTTGGTTATTTTTGAAAAAAAAGTATTTTATTTCGTTATTCTTCTTTTTAAACATTCATCAGAGAACAATAAGATCATAGGAAATTTTTTTTTGTTTTTTTATTCTATATAATGACAAATTTAAATAATGAAATGATATTCTTCTTTAAGATTATTTTCCGAATTTCTTTTGTAGACCTTTTTGATTATAAGTTCGGATTAGATGGTTTTGATTTTGAAATTCAATCAGAACCGAAGATATTCATCCTTTAGATTTTTTCACCTCCCCCCCTATTTAGGATGATTAGATCCCCTCCCCCGAATTTATTAAAATCTGATATGGCACCGAAGGGTGCCGACATTGAAATAGAACGCAGGCAGAGAGATAGCATCAGGGCAGTTAACGCCTTATCAACCCCCCCTAGTTCCTCCCGCCTCTCGCCTACGGTCCTGGACTCCGAACCCCTTCCAGGATTTGCATGAAGATGCGCCTTCCAGCTCCTCCTACCCTTCCTTCATGGTCTGGAGGGTCGCTATATCCCTTCCTTATCGGAGCCATCTTCCGGAGGAGGGTGACTGAAGAGAGTTAATCAAAAATTCTGGATGCGTTGGCCACTGCGTGAGCTGCAATGCTGATTGAAATCATTTTGAAAGCATCGTTAATATTTAACATCTTAGATTCCTTTCTTTCGCCTCTCTTTCAATTTCTCTTATTACTCCGGTTAGGTGTGAGGATTTGTATGTATATTTTTCTTTCCCTTTACCAAAAACCTTACAGTGGTGTGCGGATTACCATAAGAATGTGATAAATACATATACTAAAATACCAAGATTTTTCATTCTTTATATATTCAAACATAACATTTTTAATTTTGAGCAGAGAGTTCAAGTTTTTGTAAATGGTCGATAACAAAGGTTCTTTATTTCAGATAACAAACCGAAACAAAACAACTGTGGTATTGTCAGAACATTGAATTAAGATTTTTTTAATTTTTTATCTTATTTTCTTCAATATTGCCTCTTTTTTTAAAATTTATTCTCCTCCTTTTGGATGTGTATCTCCAATCGTATTGATTGAGTTTTTATTTATTTATTTATTTTATTTTTTAATATTTATATTAAATTTATATTTTATATTTTTATGAAAATAAACTGTTTCTCTATCTTATATTATAATTATCTCATTTAAAAAATTTCATAAATGTTCCATGAAGCACTTTTGTGGTCATGTATCATGTAAAAGTTTTAAACATGGGATTTCAGAATTCAATTTACTTGTAACTATAACTTAATTAATATATTATTTTTATTATGTTTAATATTAAAATTTTATATATATTTTTTTTATTAACTTAATTTTATAACTCACACCTGTCAGAAGTTCCGATAATCAGCGAGTGTGATGTCTATATGTATAATGTTAATATGTCCTGGAAAATTTTATATTAATTTTGTAATTTTTATTTGTGACAGAATGTAATATAACTCAATAAAAAAATAAAGACTTGTATTTTTATAAAATCAAATTTTTTACTTGATTAAACTTTATTTTTTGGTGTATTTTGATTTTTTTTTTAAATATTTCTGCAAGTCTATATCCATCTAATATTTCTTTTTTCTGTTTTTCAGGTGAGTTATTCATTAATCCACTTTATCTTTCAATTTGAAGGTAAGAGCTGTACTGTTTCTATTTATTAGACACTAACTCTCCTAGATAAAATTATAGCTAATTTACCAGTTACTCATTATATAGTATCTGAGAAAATATATAAAAATTATTATAAAAAAGTAAAAATAATAATATGAAAATAAATGTTATATATATTTTTTTAAAAAAATTGTGAAATTGATCATATATAGGACCATTTTATAGGTCGACATTCATCAAAAAGCTGTTGTAACATCTCAGGCATATACCTAAAATATGTAATTTAACTTTTGTATGTAATCGTTTTTGAGTCTGTTCACAAACATACCGACAGACCTTTTTGCGAGACTTGGTTATTTAGACTCAGAGGTCTTTGAAAGATGTATTTTCGTTGAAAACTCAGACCTGAAAATTTTTAGGATTGCATTTTTCCCCTTTCTATAAATTTCATATGTGATTAAGTGAATGTAAAAACATGAACATAACATAGCCAAAATTGATTTTTATCTTGATACCATTCATTGAATTTTGTTTACTTTCTTCATCTTAATGAAGACTATATTATATGTATCTATATCTATATCTAAATATATATATATATTTTATTTGATTCGCTCTCATTTCTCAAACTGTCATAGTTTTCAGATTTCTATTTTCAATTCAAGATTAGAAATCTTTAGGAATACTTCGCAAACTTCAGAGTAAAAACTTACTGAAAAGTATGAAAGTAAAATTGTCTTTCAACTAAAAAAAAAAAACCTTTCAATGGTTGGTAAGATTTGTCAAAAACTCTGTCATACAGAGGATTGGTTTTGGGAAGATATTTCCAAGTTGGGGTGGCCCTGTCAGGACGGATGATACGGACAGGAATCGAACCCACACCAGGCGGATATGAATGATAGATTCGGCGGAAGCCGCCTTTGTCAGAGGGAATCGGGGTGTCTCCTCTACCGCCATCTATAAAATACGGTCTCAAACTGCAACTTGAAACAGAGTTATTTTGCTATGTGTCTTATCTCCCTCCTATTTTATATAAGAGGTAGATTTATCATTCTTCAGGTTTTTATATTTACTACTCTGTAATATTTTTATGTTAATAATATTTTTATCTGTAGGTCTATCTAATAAATAATCATATTTAATTTTTGATTGCTGTTTATTAGCAACTTATTAGTATCTTCGTTGTACCCAATTTCGGAGTATATCATGTAGATATATTATTATTTTAATAGATGTATATAAAATAATTTATATTAGGTCAGACAAATTTTTTTTTGTTTGTGAATGAATCTATAATAAATGAATTGTATTATCTTAGATGCAGATGGAAAATATATCCAGAAACGCTCATTAATAAACAATAATTTAAAAAAACTACATATGTTTATCAGACTGACCCACAGACAAAAAATAAATTGTGAAGAGATAATTTACAAAAAAAAGTTAAAACTGGAAATTATTATTTTAATATAAAAACTTAATAGAAGATATAGAATAATTAAGATATAAATGGAAAATTATATAATTGAATATTTCAGGCATCATCAGTACAGAAAAAAATATGATTAAATTTATATAGTTAAAAAAAAAAGGGGAAAAAATACATCTATTAAACACTTTATAGTACTATATCGTGGTACTGACTCCTTATCAAAGTGTTAACATTCGTCTGAAACTGCGTAAATAACTTCCTTCATCTGATTCTAACCTAAAAATATTTTTGTCATATATATTTTTTTTGTATTGTTATTGTATTTCTCTCATTCCCTCTAATCAGCTGTTTCATATAACCTAACTATACTGTGTTTATGCAACGTCTCTATTCTGTAGTATGTATTTAGTATTATTATGTATTTAGAATGATGGCATGGTGTGATATTCAGTCTCTACTAAATTTTTTTTTTTTCTTTCGTATTATTTTGATTTTCAAGCCAATAGTGATTTTTAAGAATTTTCATAATTTAATTTATCAACTACAAAAAAAGATATCAGATATGGACTAGACTAGACGAGCAATAAATCGAAACCAATTTCAATTTGTTACAATGTACTAGTTTGTATTTTTAATCAGAATATTTTGTAATTTGGATTTTTTTTTGTTAAATTCTCAATAATTTCGTTTTTATGGAATGCCACACATCTACTGTGCCTGGAATGAAGTTTGAAACAAAAATCTTGAAATTTGAAGGTAAAAAAGAACAATGTTATTTTTTCTTTTTTCATCCGATTAGTAAGTGAAGAAAATTTTTTTTAAAATATAATAAATATATTTATTTAACAATCATTCATCACCAACCGATTCCACATGAAACAATTTAATGTTCTCTTTTTTTTTTTAATTGAGTCACCTTTTGTTTTTAATAAGAAAATATAATCAATAAATTATGATTTATAATTTGTTTTAGTAATAACAATCAGATTTTTGATATAGCTAAATTTCGCTGTTCTAAATTTTTCTTTAATCATGAATTATTTTATATAAAAAATGTAATATTTTTTTATAAAAAACGTAATTATTTAAATCTTTAATATTATAAAGTTACCTCGCACAATACCCTTCCCCTAGGGTATTGTATATATCAGGTTACTGTCACCTCATTATTGATAGTAATTAATAAAGGAGTAGATATTGTTCTGAGTATTTACTGTACTATATACACAGTATCTTAATATATAAAGCACTATATATATACATCAGGCTAGTATATAGCCCGAAGAGCGCTAGGAAGCTGTCGTGCCAGGAGCGTATTTCCATACATCAACCCCTAATTCTGGGGTAAGCTCTGCCCTATCATTGTCTTCTTGGGTAATTCACTACACCTGCCCTTCTCGATTCACTTCTCTTTTATTCTCTATTTGTCACTTTATTATTAATTTATTTTTAGTATAATATGGTATTATAGTATAATAAAATTAAATATGTTTAATTTAAAAACGAAAATGTGTGAAATCGTCAAAAGACAGAAGAAAAAAAAACGCCAATATAAGGTACTTGTTTTATATGTAGATATTCTTAAAAATATTTATTAAATTAAGGTTTTTAATTATATCTTTCCTACGGTTCTTTATGGATGCGAAACGTGCCCGCTTACATTAAGGGATGAGCAACGTTTTAAGGTTTTTGAAAATTGTTTCGCAGAATATTCGGACCGATGAAGGATGAGTCAACCAAAGAATTTAGACGGTTACACACCGCTGAATTGCGTGAACTATATTCGGTTAATATAATTGAGACCATTAAGTTGAGGCGAATAAAATCGCCATATAAAGTAACGAAAGAATTCCTAAAAAATGAATGCACTGTGGTATTGGTGATATCGACATCGAACCTTCGGGTTCACTAAGTCTTACTATATTATTATTAATAAGATTATTAATTGTGATTTATTCAGATGGTTGGCCTCTCAGATGGTTTTTTACTGAAGGCAAAGTATCAAAGTTATTCTTTGGTGTCTAAAAAATATATATGAGTGAAAATTTTCGATTTTTAAGACAATTATTATTTTTATTTATAATACTTAACTTATGTAAGTTCGGCAATCAGGAATGGAAATTTAATTAAAAACAAAACAAATAAGGTGTGTGGTTTAAACCATACAGTTACGGAATGGACTTAATCCGTAACAACTATTAATATTAACTATTATTTAATTTAATAATTAAAATCATTCATTGGCCTTTATCAAATCCCTAGATAGCCAGGTCAAGCTATCTCTGATAGCTTAGAAATAGTTATCTAGAATGTACTGACTGGACAGAAGACACTTATCAAGACTTAGGGAACAATAACCCTTTTCAGCAAAAGAGCACTTTCTCACAGACTTCATATCAATTCTAAAAGATAAGGATATCAATTCTTAATAGATATAACTTCATTCACACGCTTCCTAGACCGACCAGAATTGATTCATTCCCCCTCCTATCCCTGAGCATATAACCCCTATGATCCTCAGACCAAAATCACTCATACAGTTACATTCTTGAGTCAGACTCTTCACTGTAGGAGACCTGGAGTGAACTGATGTCAACTCATATATCCATACTATATTACTTATATTATATTTTAGATGCCATTTGTAACATTATGAATAAATCCATTATTTATAAAGTCTCCACAGTCTCCGATTCGTTAACTATACGATAGAAATGAAAACATCAAAAAGACGAGATTAATAATATGAAGTATAAATTATAAATAATAGCTCATTATGAAGAGGATCAAATGCTGAACAATTTGCTCGCTAACAGTATCCAAGTCCGATTTTTAGTTTCTGACATATCTTAATCGATATATTTAATAAAACTCGTTATTATATGGTTTTCAAGACTATTTTTTTTATCTTTTCGCCTCTCTAACCGATATCGCGTTAAGATAGAATATTGAATAATAGCTCGTTACAAAGAGGATGAAATGCTGAACAATTTCCTCACTTATAGTATGCAGGCCCGATTTTTAGTTTCTAAGATATTTTAATCTGATATGTAAGATATTTAAAAACATTTCAATTAGTCGAATTTAGCATTCACTCTCAACAAAAAAACTGCAAAACACGCCTAAGGAAGTTTTCATTAAAAAAAAAAAAAGTGGCCTACAAAAATACTGGGATGTTTGGCGTGACCTTTTGAGTCCACCTTATATCTCTATTTATAATTATCTCACAATTCAAGGGAAAAGCGAATCAGTATTCATGAATTTTAGAACCTCATGGTTTTCGACACAATTTTTTTTCTCTTTTCGCCTCTTTAATACGGCTTCGAATTAAGATACGATTTTGAATAATAGCTCATTACAAAGAGGATGAAATGTTGAACGATTCCTTTGTTAACAATATGCAATATATATTTTTAGATATTTTAATCCATATTCAAAAACACTTCAATTATTCGACTTTACCCGAGCGTTACATATCGGAGATGTGACGGTTTTATCTAATTCATTTTCCACAAAATAAGTTCAAAACATACCTAAAGTTATTTGAACTTGATTAATTTATTTGATGAAATAATATATACGATGACTTGCTAGGTAAACTTGAGCCTTATCAAAACAAGTTCTTAGCTCCGAGTAACGATAATGAGTCGAGTGAAACTGTCTGTAACCGTAACGGTCTTGGAACAGTGTGTAACTGCTCAAGTTGTTAAAGTAACGACTCCAGGCTGCGACGCCGTTCCGAGACGGCTGATGCCGTATGGTGTGTATAGTAATGGCTGCACTAAAAACTTGTGTCTACTCCTCTAGTTGTCTGGTTCTGTCGCCTAGCTATTGTTTTAGAGATCTTTTCGAGGCAGTTTCAACTCTATCAACCAACTCATTTATGTTCAAGAGTAGTTTAATCGTTCTTGGCATATCTGTTACTTGTTTTTTTATTTTCATTTCACTATTCACATAGGCCTAGCAGAAAAGTGACGATAAGAAAATGTGTTTAAAATTAATAGTTATCTCATTTCAGGCATGGAGAAGGATATTACCTAGCTGCATCTCCTTTTGCTTTTGATTAAGTTCGTTAATTCAGAAAAGGTTTCTCATCCAGCTCCTTTTCCGTCGCCTCCTAATGAACATGTCAGCCATGTTGCTAATATGATCATTTTTACGAAGTTTATTATAAAACCGGAAAGAAAGAGTACACCATATTTAGTATTGCCCAAATGCCAAACCAAGACTCGTCTCGGTCTCGCATTTGAGTCTTGGTCTTGAGACGAGTCTTGGTCTTGCCCAAGACTCTTGTAACAGTCTTGCAGTTACCTATTAGCTTATTGCTAGAGATATATTACTGTAATTTTTTAGATATGAGAAACCTAACTAAGTCTGAATGAAAAATTAGAAGAGCTAAATGCAAAAGTATATTTTGTATATTATATATTTTGCCTCAATTTTTATTTAAGAAATCGATTTTTTTTTCCAGTCTTAGTCTTAGTCTTGGCACAGATAGGCGGCGTTGGTCTTGGTCTTGCAAAGT